AACCCTTGATAATTTATAAATTATTATTATTTTATCATATCTTACACTGTCCGACATCTCCCTTCACCCACTTTTCTGTTGTGCACCCCCCAGGGAAGAGGTTATATTGTAGGTCCTTGTAATCGGTTCCCCCTTTCTACCCTATGTAGTATAAAGTGTGGTGGGGACTGGCCCCCCACCACTACCCAGGGTTCAGTAATCACAATTGTACGGTTGAGATATATAAATATTATATTAAAGTCATCGAGAGCATGAGCGATAGAAGAGACACATTATATGGTAGCATTGCTCACCTCAGCCCCGCTTGGTGGTCCACGTGGAGAGAGGGGGAAGGGAAGGAGGACAAGGGGAAAGGGAACAGAGGGCGGGAGGGGAGAAGGGGAAGAGGCCAGGGAGGGAGAGACCAGCGAGAGAGACCTCTATTGCTAACCCAGTCCTATATACCTTTTGGGGGTGTGCAAGCCCACTAATTACAGGTAAAGACATACATCACAGGAAGGGCTTGCACTATAGGTTATACAGCAATGAGAGGGGGTGGTCTAGGGACATACACACAATAGGAAGAGGACAGATTGGGGTATACATGTGACCTAGATTTAGGATCCTAGATTTAGGATGGCAGCTTGACTTTGGATGTCACAGAGTGGGCTTGACCTGTTCTTGGCTCAACTGATAGAGACCATTATTGGTAGGGTGTGAACTCCACCTACAGGAACCAAATTGATGACTGCAGGCATGTCCATTGTCTTTAACAACAGGGAGCGGGGCCCACTGCAGTTTGGCAACTGATTTCAGGGAGGATGCCTGCCAGCATCTGACCTCCCCGCACAACCCTACCTTCCCTCCACCCTCCAGGTATAGCCACTCTCACCACTGGTTCTGAAAGGGTTATCTGTCCTGAATTCCCTGTGTTTCCAGTTCCTGTCTGTACCAATGTACATCCTCTGGTCTAGCCAGATTTGTAAGGTAGAATTGGTATCATGGTAGTGGTGAGAGGAAGCATTTAAGAAGTAGAGAAAAGTTGTATGTTTCATCATTGCTACCCTGCAACCTGACTGGCTCATCTCCTCCCCGCGATGCTTCAGTAAGGGGGTGTCCAGTTGCCTACAGATGGGCTTTGGGTCTCCACTCTGCACTCACCCTCATTTACAATGATATGATTTTTTTTTTGAGAAACATTTATTTTAGAGAAAAAAATTCCAAAATTATTTGCTAAAAGAACTCTCCATTATTGTGATTACATTTAGTGGAAGGGTGGGATACAATTTTAAATGTTAATTAGTTTATAGTGGCAAACCAACTTATTTCAGGAAAGGATGGATCCTTGGTTACTTCTGAGTATCAAAGTTTACGTAGGTTTCTCTTCAGAAGACAGCCTGTATTCAAGAGACTCCACTTTTTTCCTCTGAACAGATTCTTGGCTTCAGCCAACTCTTGGTGGAGGGGCAACTAGCACAACACCGTCACCCTGCACAGAGAGCATTGGAATATTCCTTTTTGTTGATTTATATATCTCTTCATACGTCTCTTCATCAATTTCTATAGTAGTCACAGTTTCTTCCACATCTCCCAGTATCATATTTAAATGCTGATCATAAGCATGCAGTCTTCCTCGAAGCTCTCTGTCATTTCGCATTTTCACATAAATGTGTTCATCCAGGCTGAGCCTAATGAGATCCAGAGGCTCCTCTACTGTGTTGGTCGTTTGTTGCTGGTCCACATCATCTGCCATGTTTCAAATTCTCATATTTCTTAATTCAAGTTCAAACTCTACTATTTATCTAAATATCCTCTTCTGGTGTTAAGATTTTCTGATACTAATCAATTTTTTCTGACCTAGCCCAGTAACCTTTATACCCATTGTGTATCTGTATTCTTCTCGTTTCCCTTCACTTCATCCTGCGTATTCATTTTGCCTTTTGTCTTCTTTTATTTCCTTTTTTGATTTATATATATACTAGTTTAGTGGGCTCCCTGGGTGATACAAATGCACTTGATTACTAACCAAAAAATATGAGGTTCAAGTGTTGCCCAGATAATTGAAAATCCAATAGGAAAAAAAAACAAAAAAAAACCCCAATAAAGCACAGTTCTACTCTGACACACATGGGAGACTCCATGAGTTGAACCCAACAGCAATTTGTTTGTTTTTTTCAGAGGCATCTCTATTGCTGCTTCTGTGAGTATTGATTGTGAATCCAAGGAAAATGAAATCTTTGGTAGGGCCAATCTTTTCTCCATTTGTCATGATGTTGTCTATTGGCAGTAGTTATGAAGATTTTGTTTAACTTGGTGTGATCGATCCGTAAGACTGTATGTTTTTCAAGTCCTCTTCATTTAGCAGTTAAGAAATCAAATGACATGTTACATTGGGCAAATGTGCAGCATAATGCAGAAGACTCAAAGTATTAAAAGGCAAAGATGTCATTTTAAGGACTAAGGTGTGCCTGGTCCAAGCCATAGTATTTTCAATCACCTCATATGCATGCAAAAATTGGGCAATGACACTGGAGATCCCCTTGCAGAGGGGTCTTGGGGAGGAGATGAGCCAGCCAGGGTGCGATGTAACAATGATGAGAAATACAACTTTCCTCTAGTTCCTAAATGTTTCCTCTCCGCTCCCACTACCATGACTCAAATTCTATCTTGCAAGTCTGGCTAGACCCGAGGAGGTACACTGGTACAGATAGGAACTGAAAATACAGGGAATCCAGGACAGATGAGCCCTATAGGACCAGTGGTGTGAGTGGCAAAACAGGGAGGGTGAAGGGAGAATGGGTAGGAAAGAGGGAACCGATTACATGGAACTGTGTGTGACCTCCTCCCTGGGGGACAGACAACCAAAAAGTGGGTGAAGGGAGACGTCGGACAGGGCAAGATATGACAAAATACCCATTTATAAACTAGCAAGGGCTCATGAGGGAGGGGGGAGGGAGGGGATAAATGAGGACCTAATGTCGGGGGTTTAAGTGGAGAGAAAATGTTTTGAGAAACAATGTACAAATGCGCTTTACACAATTGATGTGTGTATGGATTGGGATAACAGTTGTATGAGCCCTTAATAAAATGTTAAAAAAAAAGAAAGAAAGAAAGAAAGAAACGAAAAAAAGAAAAAAAAAGTTGGGCAATGAATAAAGAAAAAGAATTGATGCATTTGAATTATGGTGTTGGGGGAAAATATTATCATGAACTGCCAGAAGAACAAACAAATCTACTTTGGAAGAAGTACAGCCGAATGCTCCTTAGGAGGAAGGATGGGGAGACATTATCTCATGTACTTTGGACATGTTATCAGAAGGAATCGATCTCTGGAGAAGGTCATCATGTTTGGTAAAATTAGGGGTTCATTAAAAAGAGAAAGACCCTCAGTGAGATGGATTGACACAGTGGCTGCAACAGTGAACTCAAACGTGTCCGTGATTATGAGGATAGCACATGTGAGGTGTAGTCTCGTGACGGAAAGGGTCCTGAGGAGCGGCTGTGCAATTGACGGAAAGTAAATAACAGACAGCGTGCAAGGGCTCACCTTTCCAGGAGTCAGGATCAGGAGAAAGAGAGCGAATATATTCTCTCTCCAACGGGCTTATGTAGTCCTAGGGCATGCAGGCCCTGGCAATCATACACTTAACAGGGTGAGCAGTGCCTTAATTTTAGATGTCCCTGAGCTCACTGAGGGAGTAACCCAAGACCAATATTGGCGGCAGACAGAGGTGAGGGGACTGCCCTTTGAGCGGGGAGAACAATTGAACATATTTGTTCTTAGAGATAGCCTTTAGTGCATAGTGAGCAGCCATGTGCTTACAACAGGTATCTTTAAATTGGCACTATTGTAGAGGGAGATTGTGGGAATGGTTTTTTGTATGGAGAATGTGACTGGGAGTCATCTATACCTCATAAGTGTGAAGGCCTGTCTCCACCAAAATTGGCCTTCCAGAGTCTTAATTATGAGTGTAGAGAACTTGGCCACATACATTCTCTTCCCAGTCCTCAGTTTCCCACAGGCAAAAGACAAGGGAGCAACATTTTGTTCTGTTACACACAAGGGTCATTATTAAGGTGACCAGATTTTAACATTGGTAAAGTGGGACACCATTGATAAAACTCATATCCTGGTGAAATAGCCACATGGCAGTCGAAAACCGTATACCCAACTTGTTGTGCATTCTTTCCAAAAATCGGGACTTTTAAAAAATGCCGTGGGACAAATTGTAAAAAATTGGGACTGTCTTGCCAAAAGCGGAACATCTGGTCACCTTAGTCATTATGAGTGAGAACTGACTTAATAGATCCTAGCAGCACCAATCTGTGTTGCTGGGATTCAAGATGGAGCGTCATATTCCTACTGGATCTAGTAGGTGACTTGAGGGCATCCATGATTTCCCTGATGGTATAGAGAAAATTTTATGTGTTTTGGTGGTTGGTGGTTTCAAGGAAATCATTAAATTATATTATGAGGTCCAAAAAAGTTTAAGGACCATTGCTATATTGGTTAAAAAAATATTTACAGAGACCAACAATTCTCATTTTTATTTTCCAGTTTTATACTCTATGTCTGTATATTATTTTGTCAATACATTAACGTTTCTTTTGTTTTTTAAGGTTCAGGAGCAAGTACATCCTAATCTTTCAGCTAATGAAGAGTCTCTCTACTACATTGAAGACCTAATTTTTCAACTGCTTAATAAATTATGCATGGCCCAACCAAGGACTGTTCAAGATGTGGAGGTAAAAACTTTGATATTTCAAAAAGACACTGAAACATTATACAAATGAATTTTTGTGTTTCTCTAGGAATAAAAGAGTCCACAGATTTAAGTGTATTTTATAGTGACTTGTTTGTTTAGTCATAAATAGAACAAAGACCAATCAGCCAGATGAGGGAATGTCTCAGCACAAGGCCGTACTGGTATCCAAAGGCTGGCTTTGAATAGGGCATGGAACACAAAGGAAACTCACAAAATCATGAATGGCAACAGATCAGTTCATAACAGTTGCAGGCCAGACTACAGAAAAGAGATGGACAGACCATTGGGATACTCACACAATTACAGATTAGAAAAGGTTACTATTGGTTCAGGGCCCTCTTGAGTACCTAGGTCAGGTATGACTCCTAACTAGAGGACCCTCAAACTCCTATCGAGTTGATTCTGATTCATGACCCAGAAATTCTGATCATTTAACACAAGAGAAATGAGAATAAATGATAACAAAAAGGTTTACACGTGTTAACCGTGTTTTTAATAGCCCCAAATTAGAAACAATACAAGTTTTCGTTGACAAAACAATGAGTGGCCAACTTAGGGTATATTCATAAAGAAGAGGACCCTCAGTGAGATGGATTCACACAGTAGCTGTAACAATGGGCTCACACGTAGCCAGGGCCAGGCAGTGTTGTTTTTGTTTAGTCATTTTATTGGGGGCTCATACAGTTCTTATCACAATCCATACATATATCCACCGTGTCAAACGCATTTGTACATTTGTTGCCATCATCATTTTCAAAACATTTTTCTTTCTACTTGAGCCCTTGCTATCAACTCCTCATTTTTACTCACTCTGTCTCCCTTTTGAACACTTGATTTATAAATTGTTATTTTTTTCATGTCTTACACTGACCGATAGCTCCCTTCACCCACTTTTCGCTTGTCCATGCCTCAGGGACGGGGTTATATGTAGATCATTGTGATCAGTTCCCCTTTCTCCCCCTGGTATCGCTGTTCTCATTATTGTTCCTGAGGGTTTTATCGCTCCTGGATTCCATGTGTTTCCAGCTCTAATCTGTACCCATGTACATGCTCTGGTTTAGCCATATTTGTAAGGTAGAATTGGGATCATGATAGTGGGTAGGGGGAGGAAGCATTTAAGAACTAGAGGAAAGTCGTATGTTTCATCGGTGCTGTATTGCACACTGACTGGCTCATCTCTTCCTTGTGACCCTTCTGTAAGGGGATGTCCAATTGAATACAGATTGACTTTGGGTCTCCATTCTGCACTCCCCTCATTCACATTGATAAGATTTTCTGTTTTAGAGCTTTGATGCCTGATAGCTGATCCCATCGACACCTAGTGATCGCACAGGCTGGTGTACTTCTTCCATGTGGACTTTGTTGCTTCTGAGCTACATGACCGCTTGTTTATCTTCAAACCTTTAACAGCCAGATGCTAAATCTTTTGATAGCTGGGCACCTTCAGGTTTCTTCACCATATATGCTTATGCACCCATTTTGTCTTCAGTGATCCTCTTTGGGAAGGTGAGCATCACGGAATGCCAGGCTATTAAAACAAAATGTTCTTGCGTTGAGGGAGTACTTGAGTAGAGGCCCAATGTCTGCCTGCTATTTTTATGCTGAACATATAAATATATGTTCATAGATCTATTTCCCTATTATTATATATAAATATATTTATAGATGTACATGGGCCAGGCAATGTTTGTTTGTTTTTTTTAAATTAAAAGATAATTTTATTGAGGGATCTTATAACAATTCATACATCAATTGTATCAAGCATATTTGTACATAGGTTGCCATTTTTTTAAAGCATTTTATTGGGGGCTCGTACAACTCTTAATCACAATCCATACATACATCCATTGTGTCAAGCACACTTGTACATTTGTTGCCATCATAATTCTCAAAACATTTGCTTTACACTTGAGCCCTTGGTATCAGTTTCTAATTTTCCCCCTCACTTCCCGCCCCCCCCACCTTATGAAACCTTGATAATTTATCA